CTACTACTACTACTACTACTACTACTACTACGACTCCTCCTCCTCCTCCTACTACTACTACTACTACTACTACTCCTACTACTACTACTACTACTACTACTACTACTACTACTACTACTACGACTCCTACTCCGACTCCGACTCCAACTCCTAGTCCTAGTCCTACTCCTACTCCTACTCCCACTCCTACTACTGCCCCTACTCCTACTCCTACTCCTACTCCTACTCCTGCTCCACTCCCACTCCCACTCCCACTCCCACTCCCACTCCCACTCCTACTCCTACTCCTACCCCGACATCTACACCTACTGCTTAGTCCTACTACTCATACTCCTGCTGCTCATACTCATATTTTTACTCCTACTGCTGCTGCTCCAGCCACCGCAGCCGCTGGATGACGAAAACACACCGCTGTTCTGAGTTCTTCCTCACGATATCTATTCTTCCTCTGCTCTGTTCGCTTCCAGTCTTACCATTGGATTGAAACCACCATCACAACTTTTTTTGAGCTGGCAAACACCACTACCGCCGCCGAGTGCAAATATCATACTTGCGGCACATAATTGCTCAGTCTTAATGAAGCGATGGCGACGGTGGTGTCAATGCAGGTGTTGCCGCCGATGGCTGTGATGATGGTGCTTCTGCAGCAGTTACTAATGGTGTTGTTATCGTTGTTGACTGCCACGACTGCCGTCAGAGAAAGCGCCCTCGCAGATCCACTCCCGTGGTACTCATCCATACCACCAGAGACGACAAGTTTCGCCATTATCACTTGTTGCGACAGACTGAACCCTAAACGCTGGACCAGAAACCGTATCCCACGAATCCCAAAAACCTGCATAGAAAATCTCTGAGACACCAAGCTCTCAAAACAAACCTGTAAAAGCCCCAACAACCAAACCAAGACCAAGCACCCTGCACTCCAAAACTTCTGCCAAGGCTCCGTAGGCAATCGCCGTGACGAAGAGCGAAGGCCCGAGCCCGCCTTGGTTGGTGTGTTGAAGGTCACAGTCTGTTGCAAGGCATCTGTGCTGGAGTGTAAAATTAAAACCTGTTGCTGAATTGGGGTCTGTAGGTTTGCGGCCCTCAGTTGGTTGTTGCCATTGGGGGTTTCATTTAGGATCTGATGTTGCAGGTCCAGACCCTTACACAGTCCAAAAAGTTTCTACTTTTCACGTCGACGTTTCTCTGTGGGCATCCTGGACAGTTTCACGGCACAGAACTTGGGGCCTTAGGGTTGAAAGGCTTCAACTGATGCCACCGGGTTTCGGGCTAAACTGTAGTGGGCTATTGACTCCGGGCACGAGTCGAGTGGCTCTGGCATCTGGCATTTGTAGGGACTTGTTTGGGGCGCATCTTGCAAACTCTAAACCCATTAAATCACATGCGGGGCAAGTCGGTTTTGCTTTTAGTCTAGGTCCTGCCTGGATACCCTGTCGGCGTGCAAGGCTTGACGCCTTTAGAATGAAAGTTTTGCTGGCAACCTGGGGCCACCTGGACCTGCCAGCTCTATCCCTTGTAACCTCAAGTAATTAGATCATAAGTAGAGTTATAAGAACCCCGAGCGGCCAAGGTGGAGTATCCAATCAGAACCCCATTTCTAATCTACCGGGAAAGTCTCCCCTGCGTGTGTAGACCCAACTCCACTTGCCAAGATGCCGCACGCACAGGTTTCCCTTTCTGACTCCCTGAGGCTCTCACTTGCGAGGTCCATGATGGGCAGCAGCTCCACGCCGATGTACCTACACATATGTCATAAATATAGGGTTGCTAACGAAAACAATCAGATCTCGGTGTTGGTGAAACCCGCTGACAGGGGCCAAACTGGTTTCAATAGAGCTTCGGGATATGTTACCTATTAGCGCAAGGACTGGAAACATGCTCACACTACGAAATGTCGAGGCCCCTATCGTGCAATCGTGCATGAATCGTTGCTTGAAGTCCTCGTGGGCTTTCGTAGAGGGCACGCAAGAAGTCTGGATGAGTGCAGTGAGGACACCCACCGTTTAGGGTCATCATCTCCGTATCATAATCATTGTCGGAGCTTGAGTTTGAGGTTGGGCAAGGTGAAAGTCTGCGAACATCCCGAATTGAATTCAAACCCGACCTCTTGTCCCTTGCGGACTGCTCACTCAACCCATCGGAATCTCCCCCTTCACTCGGTATACTCGGAGTAGAAACCATGAAGACATCGCGCCTCAGCTTTGCATCAGGACTGCACCCAAGCTCCCTGCTAGAAAGCCCTTAGCCTGAAAGCACGGTCAGCACCGATATGGAGTATGGACAAGACCATGAACCAGCTTTCCGGATCCCGTTTGGGCACTGCATGAGGGTAAAGCAGCCGAGGAGGCGCATCCAGTAGAGGAACACGGCGCCTGGATGTGGGAGGTGCAATGGTCCAGGGTTGACTGCTGCTGCTGCTGCTGCTGCTGGAGTCCTATACTCCTACTCTGCTACGATGACGACGGCGACTGTGACTATTGTTGTTGTTGTTGTTGTTGTGGTTGCTGTTGTTGCATGCCTAGCCGTTCCTTCTCGGTTTTCTTCCAACACTTGTCGGCAGCAACACAAACTGATATCCTTTCGTACTGCAAGAAATTGCAATCGGAAAGTTGGCCCAGTATCGCACTGAGGCCAGCACAGATAAGCACTGGTTCGCCTGAGAGAGGCGGGTTGGATCCTTCACTTGCAGCAAATATTTATATGCAATATCAGAAGGTCGTCCGGTCCGGAATTCTGAACCTCAAGCCCGGAAGCCCGAATGCTGAGCCCTGGGAGTGGCTTCGAGACAGGGTAAGTAAGGTGCTAGATTCGTGACCAGCGGCCTTCTGTTCATCGTTTCGAGAATTACAAATAAAGCGACAACGGTCCCTGTTGGTGTCTTCTATGAACCAAGGTGTCACGTTTCGAGGTCGGTTGTGCGCAAAAGGTGCGATAGGGAGTGATGGCGAAGGATGCCCTCGGACACCTCTCTGCATCTGTATGTGCAAGGCTCCCTCGGGCCCAGAATCAAAACAGATTGCGTGCGAATCCCTTCAACATCGTACTGTAAGAAGCTGTCCGAAGGAGAGACCAGATTGCTAATTTCGTAAGGGTAGCAGCACCAGGCCTCTGGCTTGACAAAAGGAAGGGAGCTTTTGAACTCTAAGTCTTGTCAGAAGCTTTTTTGTGTCGCACACTGCATCAAAAGAGGGACCGAGCCCAAAGCCCAAAAACCGGTTCTAAGTGGCCAATGAATCTTTGGGAGTGCTTGTATCATGAGCCCCTCGTATGCGTATTTGCCCAATAACCCGCAGATATCAAAGCTACGTATGAAGGTCCTCCCTATTCTGGGGCTTCGAGCTAAGGGGGCTTTATTCCAGGATTGAAGGGTATCAAGGGTCCTGCAGCCGTTTTTGAATCACTGTTGACCGGCAGCTGGATCGTGCGACGAGCACATGCTTCCTCTAACGCCTTCGAATCTAAGCTGCCCCAGCCGTGACGAGAATCTAAATCTATGAGTACTGTGCTGAGGATATGACACAGCCCAAGGCTTGAACCACATCATCAATGACTGAAGTTCAGAAGGTACAAGACTTCGTTTGGTATGACAGGGAAAGCTTATGGGAAAACTATGCAGTGCCCACCCCCCAAGGTCTTACACAAGAGCAAATCCAATCCGCAGCCAGCTTTGCTGACCAGTTGCACGTTGGCGCCTGGGATGGCAAAAAGCATTCGTGGGGAGAGGGGTACTTTGGCGTGGAACCCTGCAGGTCAGGGCTCGGCCAATATACACGGCAATGCCTATTGTTTCAGCTGAGCCCCAGAGCACCCATGGGTCGCAACAACAGGAACACCTGTGTCATGTCTAGGGTTTAGGGTATATTCGAAATTGCTTAGCACTGGCTGCTTGACACAGTTCCGAATTTATCAGAATTACCTCTGCGTGCTCCCTCTTGCTATTACAGTGTGGGCACGGTGCAAATTACAGGGTCTCGGTATCCCGGACGGCTGTCGTGTTTGTATCTGTTACACTCACACGCACACACAGTTGCTAATGACGATGGGATGTGGCTGCTCATAATAGAAAAGCCAATGCTCATGCACGTCAAAATGAGCGACTGTTCAAATAATTTTGCTTTCAGAGGCGAAGGTGGCCTGCATGATATGTTTGCAGGTATGTGGTACTTACGTTGAACCGCATGCTGAACAAAAACTGTCAGCCAGCAACTGGTTTGCAACATCAACCAGATCGATGATGCCGGCAACTGCTGTCATGATCACTATATACCGAATAGAAACCTTCATGCGAATAGTGCAGTAAGTCGTGTGCCTTCTCGAATATATATATGCAACGGTTTGAGGCTAAGTTTATTTGCAATTGCCTCGGGTCGACGGCCTTTTTGAAAGACTAACCTCAAACTTCTACTGACATACTCTAAACCCCACCGTAAGCTTCAGCCCCAACCTCCAAACCCCTCAGCCGCACTCCGAGCTCCGAAAGACAACAGGTCGGGTGGCGATGAGCAGTACCGACGGAAGGCCGGCCGCGATCGCACGGACGATGTTCGCGACGGTGAACCTGGGCTTGCTGGGTTTCTATAGATATTTCTTTGCGAATGGAATTTTACTCAAGGTTTTTGTTTTTGTGGGCTTTGGAGTGAGGGCTCCGTGAAGCTGGAAGTGTTCGAAATCAGGGCCTCGTGGTAAATCTTCTAAGCCGACCAGGCGAGAATAGCTCGCACCTGAGGGTGGGATGAGGCTTTCGGGCTCCGAGTGAACCGCAAAATGGTTGAGGCTTTTCATAGTTTGGAGTGGTGGTAGTGTGTCTTCCGTACACCTGCCCATGTCGGCATACAGCTGAAAGCTCGTTCATGTTGACAGAGGTTTAGCTTCTGGGCTCGAGGTTGTGGTCGGCATGTTAGGGTTGAAGGTTTAGGGCTGAGGGTGTGCCAGTCTTCTTAAGCGGGATACGTCGGAGGCCCTGATCCGGAGGGCTTGGCCACCTTTAGGCCCCTGTCTTCGTATCATGCGCGGTTGTGGGCTCGTAGCGAGGCTTCGGAGGTGGGGACTTAAGGGCTTCAGAATCTGAGGGCAGAAGGAATCGAGTCGCAGGAGTCTGGGGTAATCCGGGTTTGATGTCGGCTTGGCTGATGTCGGGGGCTCACCGGGTTGAAGGCTCCAAGGCCCCCCTGGCTCATCGATGCCGACTCGAGGGAGCTTCAGGGACACTCCCTAATCTAATATCGGTCTTCAGTGTGGAAGATCGTCTGGCACCACAGGCTGACAGCCATGCTGTCTCGGAACAGCATGGCGTGACAGAAGTGACAAAAGAAGCGTGAGAAGCCATACATGGAGGATCAAGTGATGTAATCAGTTGATGTAGAACGCTATCAGTGGGCCCATGAATCACCCAGTACCATATCTGAGGCCTTGCTCATAGGCCTACTTTGTAAACTCCGCGACGTAGTGCCTTCATGTGGTCCATGTCTGTGTCTACCACCCTGAACTCAACCCTTCAAACGTGAATGCGTACCAAATCCAAAGCCCTCGCTGAGCTGAGCGGCCAATCCCTCCAGCGACCGATCTTCCAAAAGCCATAGAACTCTGCAATCTCAAGGAGCAGGTCCTGGGTACCAGTTTCGGGCTCGTATCGAAGAACGGTTTTGTTGTCCGAGGAATATTCCTCAATTCATGGATATTGGCATGATACCGAGGCCATAACCCCTTCATGGTGCTTACGGAACTCCTTCGATTTATCTGCATCTCTGGTTCCCTATAGTCCGTGCGTAACTCCAACACACAAGTTTCAAACGTTCAGTGGCTAGGCCGTAGGCCGCCGTAAGCCTGAAGCTGTCGGTGTGGTCTCAGGGTTTGCTTTAAGCCTAAACGTTAGGCTCAGGCTTCAAGTAAGACCCCGAGCACCTCTGCAGCACCCTGAACCTACAGGGGCCGACCTTCTCGAATGCACCCGCAGACTTCCCAACCCCACAAGCTCAAGAATCCCACACCAGCTCCGGCAAGACTAGAACGAGCCTGGAGCTGCACCAAAAAAAAAAGACGCCACGACTTGCAGCCGGGCTGCCACCAGAGCCTTGCAAGCGATCCAGGTGTAGGCGACCCAGGAGGCCTTAGAACGGCGGCAGATCAGGAGGGTCTCTCGTTCTGGACATTGGATTGAATTTTACGGCTCGACGAATACATGGCTTGGGGTAGGTTACGGCACGGTGCGGGCGGAAGGCCTAAGGTTTCCATATTTTCTTAGGGCTTAGGGCCTCCTTTCACTAATACAGAGGAGTCATCACAACACTAGGGCTGCGCTGCTTGGGATCTACATGGGGGGCGCTTGTTTTCTGGGATTTGGGATTTAGGTCAGGGTCTTGCCGCTCAGAGTTTCAAGCTGAAGGAACCTGCTATGGGACGCCGGTTTTTTGCACTCGTGCCTGGCCCGAATTAGCAGGAGGAAGATGGGATCACATGGAGGATCAGAGAGACTTTGTGGAACCGGGCCGGGCTATCAGTAGGCGACGGGGGGAGCCTTCACTGCTACCCAACCTACCAAGTTCACCGGAACATCCTGCAAACAACCCACGTTGGGGTTCGGAATTCTGTGTACAGCCGTCGTCATACAGGTCTTCGGCGCTGCCGTTCAAAACTGGAAACAATGTGGAACGTAAGCAAGAGGACCCTGCTCATGAAGACCCGAAATAAGGGACCCCTTCCACCTGAGCTCCTGGCCTCCGAAATCTCGTCTGTGTAGCGCTGCATTTGGCTAAGGTGGTTTTGGCTGCCCCCGAAGGTGCCTGCACCACAAGATGTAGAAGTTATAAGGGTTCTATGTCGGGGTATGGGGGGTCTTTCTGGAGCATGCGTGCTTCGGAATAGGTTTATCGCCTCTTGTGGGGCGTATGGATGCGGCTTGGTGTGAACGTCTTTGACCAAGCCCTGCGACGAATTCCCGAAGAGTGCCAGCAATGGCACAAGTCATTACTCAAAAAAATACTTGAGATAGTCGAAGAGCATAGATAGTCACATCCAGATTTCTGCTTGAAGGATTCCGGGTTCGGCCCTTCCACTTGTGGGGCTGCCCTTGTATCCTGAAAGCTACCGGCACCTCTGTACAACTTTTCTCGCGGAGAGCCCACTGCACTGCAACTTCGGAATATTCCGTTGAACTACAGTGCAAAGCCTTGTGTGAGATGAGCATATTCCTTCAGCCTTCATTGCAGGCATGCTTTTTGCTCGCTTTCTTGGGCTTGGGGCCGGAGTTTCTTTAGTTCGGGTATTCGAGGCAGAGCCCGAATCTTAAAACACAGGATGCGAGTGCAACTCACAAACGTGTGGCCGACTGTCAAGGTGATGCAGATCTGAGGCAACTGCGCCTTCAAGCATTAGCTGGGTTTTCTAGACTTGGCAGAGGGTGCTTGCCCGCGATGACTCTGGCATTGATCCATGATGCTGCGACGATGTCGGCAGCCCCGAACCAAGTGTAGTCAAACACGTTGGTAACGGCAGAGACTTCCAGCTGTCCAACGAGCCAGGAAACTTTGGCTCTGTCAAGGCTGCTTTCCTTCCTGTTCCATTGAACAGCATGCCAGGGTGAAGAAGCAGATGATGATGATTTCGATGATGACGTTTCAGCATTCATGACGCCTGAGAAAAATAAGGATGATGACCCTCTTGACCTCATGGTTCCCAGAGAGTAAGAAGTACACTTCCCAAAACCAGAGTTCGGAAACCGGACAACAGCCCTCGTATCCAAAAAAAGCCAGCAAGCATGCACAATCGAAAGTCAGCATTTTCGACGAACCTTTGCGAAGTCGAGCTTATCTAGTTTGATTCTGTCGATGATTCCATGCCTCGAGGCCCTGTAGCCATAGCCCTGGTGCTTACTGCCCACCACACGAGCATGTTTGACTGCAGGATCAGGCTGCTGCTCGGTTTTCTAGCCCTGCTTAATGGAAAGTTTGAGTTCTCGACGGCACAAGCCGTAATCCCAACACCCTATACTACGAGCACTAAGCCCCCCTTCAGCCACCACCGTTTTCAGAAGATCCTCCCGCCTGCACCGCTTCCTCTGATGAGCCGGCCTTGGGTTTGCGGCTCAGGCTCGGCTGAAGGACTCCAGGACGGATAGTTCGTGTCGTCTGCACGAAAACCATACGTTCATGCTACGACCAACCACTGCTCATGCCACAGCTCACTGAACTTATGGCAGGCAAGAAATGCCCAAAAGTCCACGCCACAACGACGACGACGACGAATGCTAGTAGCACCTCAACAACTATAACCACAACTAACACAAGTACTACTACTGCAACTCTGCCATTACTACTAGTATTACTGTTAGGAGTACTACTACTACTACCACTACTACTACTACTACTACTACTACCACCACCACCACTTCTGCAGATGCTACTGCTACTAGTGCTACTCCAGCTGCTGGTGTTGCTGGTATCGCTACTGCTACGTCTCCTCCTGAGCATACGTCGTCCTACTACTACAGCGAAATCAACATGATGCCTTTCTGTCACAGCACTCTCATCACCTTCCGGCCAGTAAGATCATCATCACCACCATCATCACCAGCATCATCCCCCTCCACAACATCATCACCANNCATCATCACCAGGATCGTCATCCTCATCCTCGTCATCAACAACGTCATCGGCCGTGGCTTCATGATTATGGTCTCGGTCATGGTCATGATGATGACCACCATGATCACTACCGTCACCATCATCTAAGCGGTGGTGCAGGAGGTGGTGATCACGGTTCTGACGGTGGTATTGTTCATGCTGCTGCTGCTGCTGCTGCTGCTGCTGCAGTTTTCTGCATTCCAAGATGCGTTCGCTCTCAGCATCGGCGTCGGACGAGCCAGTGCTGGTGCGGATGATTCCCTGGCAGCCCAGATCAGTGCCGAAGTCCGTAAAACGTCTGATTCGACGAACCGAATCGAAGCTCTGCATGGCAAGCCGGCTTCGAAAGCTCTGCATTGTCACAGTTGCAAACGGTTTATGCTCTGCAAGACGCGATCCAGTTCTCGGGAATCATGCAGGTTTGGCTTATCAACGTTTGACGGAGCAGGCTTGTCGAGTTTCCAGTTCTCGTTCGGCATTCACAAGGAAGCTTGCCCAAATTAGGTCATAAGCTAAGAACATTCAGGATTGCTGGGCCAGGAGCCAGGTCCTCAACCACAAAGTTGCCACTAAGCATCCCCCGCAGAAAACCCACAATCCGTATTTTTGCAGGGCTTTGTGGTTTGGGTGTTCGTGTTACCTGCACTGCCGCAAGCAGTTCACTTCTCCCGAAAGCCCGAACGCAACAAAGGAACGAGAGCCCCCCCGTCGGTCAGTTTTTCACCATGCCTGTCACCAAACCAAGCCAGCCACAAGGCCGTTAGAACAAGCCCCAGCCTCCTCCGCGAGAAGCAGCGCCAAGCTCCAAAAGCTTAAGAGAACCTGCAACGGGCACACCCAATCATGTCGTGCTGCTCATGAACATGTTGGAGACTTTCCCTAACACTTTTGCCAGGGTAGCCAGGGGGGATCCCACACACTGAACAGCCGCAAGCACTGGGAAGGCCGTCCCAATTTTCTGCCGGGCGCGGCACCGACGTGAGGTCGATCTTGCCCGCTGCCTTCCAGAAGAGGTGCTTCACCATCGCCTGGGAACCACGGACTTACGACGTAGGGTTCAATTTTCGAATTAGATTTGCGGGTAGCCTTCGCGCAGCACCACTTGCGCACTGGATCCTATGAAATCCTTATCCCTCAACGCCTAATTGGAAGGCAAGATGTCTTGTCGGCTTTGATCTAATGACTATGATCCCTGTTATAGGTAGCCCAGAATTCCACTGGGGCTGAGACCCTGTTAGCTAAGACTCCTGTGAATGCCGTTACCCCAGTCCCAGCGGCGTGGATGGTGTCATCCTCATAAAGCTGCAGGAAGTCTGCATTCTTGGGGTCGACCAAGGCAGCGAACCTTTCACTTCTACATCGGGGCTGAGACATGGGACTTCAAGTTTTCAGATTTCGCTTTCTGGGGTGGGCTTTCTGGGTTTAGCTGTATGGTTGAGCGGTTTAGGGATGTATGTCATTGATGTTTGAGGGGAATGGCAGTCCGGGCTGGAGGGGTGCGTTTGGAGAGAAGGTTTTGCGCTTCCAGCCCCCAGCCCGCACGGCTTGAACCCCATGCTCTGCATCCCGAATCGTAAGCCACTGTTCCCTGACCTCCGTTGGCGTCGCATCTCCGGAAGCAGTGTTTACTTGAGGCTACATCTTGAGTTGCCACCATACCTGTCCCCCGCCCTCTTCGGGTTCTGTGATTTAGATATGCAAGGGAACCTTCCTGACTATTGCTTATCATTGAGACCCTGTATTGCACTCTCACCCAATGTGCTCTTGCCTCAGATCTCACTGCACAATCAACCCCAAAAATCCTTTCCCCCACAGTTCGCGACCGCCAGCATCAACCGGAGATTCCGGTCCCGCTTATGACGCCATATATAGGTTGAACAATGCACCAACCAGAACATGACCCCATAGACAAGAAGGAATCCTAAACAAGCCCACTCAACACTCAGAAAGCTCTTGATCCCGAGCGCGCTAGACCACAACTCTGCAGCCCCAACTCCGACAGAAAAAGCCCCTTGCTGTGGACTGGAAACAAGGCAGCCCTAAACCAAAAACCCTAAATCCAATAGGCTTTTAGAGCCTCCCCAACAAGGGCCACCCCAGACTATTAGTCGCTATTAGTCGCTATTAGTCGCTATTAGTCCCTAATAGGCCCTATTAGTCCCTAATAGGCCCTATTAGTCTGAAAAAGCCGTGCCGGGTGCTGTCAAGAGCTTTGGCACAAGCAACAGACAGCCATGCAATCAATTCGGCTTGCTGCGGGTTTAGGTTAGTCGTGCATAAAGGTTTTGGAACCACACACACCCAAAGCGCTCACTTTTATTCGATACCGGTGATGGCAGGTTCCAGTTCTACTTGGATTGTTGCGAGCTTGTCATTCAATCACGGTTTGCATCGGAAATTTTGATTCGTAACATAACACCTCGGACCTTCGCCCCAGACCTGAGGGCATCCCAACCCGGCCCCAATCCACCCCGCTAATAGGGGCTATTAGTCCCTATTAGCGCCCCATGGCGGGACACCCCGAGCACGACTCTCACCTGCCTCAGGATGGTGGCGGTGTTGTTGTTGTTGCTGCTGCTGCTGCTGCTGCTGCTGCTGCTGCTGCTGCTGTTGCTGTTGCTGTTGCTGTGCTGTTGTTGTTGCTGCTGTTGCCGTTATTGGTTTTGTCGTTGTTGTTGTGGTTGTGCTTGTGGAGATTGCTGTTGTTGTTGTGGTTGTGCTTGTGGTTGTGCGCCCAAGCTCGCGGGATGCGTTGCGCTGGAAGTGCTGTCTCCGACTGGGATCATCTGCTTTTGGGTCTTGTTGGGCTGGGGTGGCTCCCAAAGACATGGCTCTAAAAGCCTGTTGGACTAAATTCTACTCGGCTCCGCCGGGGGTGCGAAGAAAAAACCCTGAAGTCCCCCAAACCTTCTTTGGGGCTTCCTTGTTATTATGGTTGTAGTATAATATAGCCCAAAACCCTCCTCATTTGGACGCTCTGAGCACCGAACACTTCCGGGCAAATCAGGTCCTTGGAGAAGCTAACAGGATCGGCCCCCAAATGAGTGAAATAGGGCTTCTTTTAAAGGGTTACTATTTGGGCTACTATAAGGGAGCCATAAGGGTACTGTAATGTAGGGGTCCAAAATAATTAGAATAGGGTTTTGGGGGTTCCTTCTCATAATTATAGTAAAATATACACCAAAACCCTATTTTAATCTTTAAGGCCCCTATATTCTTCACTTGCTCGCTGAGGTTTGAGAGACTTGCTTTCGGAGCTTTAGCTTCGGTTTACATCCCTTATTGGCCTTCATGTTCTTCGGCAGTATAGTCTCAGTGTGTAGGGCCTGATGGCCTCGACGGAGTGCAGCTTTTCAACAAGCCCGTGACTGGTGAAGTGCGGGGATCTATTCTTTTGCCATTGCGAGAGCATCATCAACCATCAGGATATCCACTCCGGGTCCCTTGGGCTCCGCGTTGTAACGGGGCCTTCTGGAGGATTCTACTGTCGAACAGCCCTACGGATCAGGATTCAACTAATTTCAACAAGAGATTCCGGGTTCAAGTTCCAGTTCCCCAACCCCCAGTGCAAGGCTTCAGATCTACTGTCGAGGAGTGGTCTCCACACCTGCAAGGCTCTGTCAATGATGGGGTCGCTGCTAGACTTTGCACACTTTATTGACGAGCGGCTGCAATAAGGCATACGCGGATCTCCGCATCAATGATCGGCTTGCCTGGTGGGCATGTCTCGCAAACAAGGACCCATGGAGCCTAAACGGTTTGGGGTCTACACTGGATCATGGAGCCCGACGGGAACGCCGTTCACGCAGACCTTTAATCAAAGGATTGTCTTGAAGGTGTTTTTGATGCTTGAGGCGTGGGACTTTACGCGGGGGCGAGGCTCTGAAAGGAACGCTCCTTGCAGTTACAGTGGCAGTCACCACAAGGGCCAGTTTCGGCAGAGTAAGGGCCAGTTGTAAGGGGGCTTTGACCCAGAACAGCATGCCAACAGCCTGCCCAGAGCAATATGTGAGCCGTCAGGTAGTGGCTATGGGGATCAAGGAGGCTAGCGGCGTAGCTTCTCAGGCTTTGGAGTTGAAGTCTCGCTTTCGGACCTCTCGGCCCTCGGAGAGAGTGGCTTTCGACTCAAGGAACTTTAGGAGTCGTTAGCCTCAAGGGATCTTCCTTGACAAATGCCCTGCGTAGAACTGAAGGAATAGTGGATATCAAGGAACCATTCGGTTTTCCGTCCAGATCCCTGTCCGGGCCTGGGCTGCGGTCCACCCAAGGCTCGTGCCAGCCTGCAGATGGTTGGCTACTTTTGTGGGATTCATTGGCTGAGGGTTGGGCTCGGAGGATGAAAGAGTTTCGGATTCGGGTCTGTGGGGTTGTCTGGGTTTGGGAGCTCCGGTCGGATGTCTGTACTAGGCCCTAGCCCAGGGTCCGGACCGAGGATGCCTTTTGCCGGAGACAGGTTACCGGATTCATGGACCGGTCAGGGGCGGGCACCAACAGCCCAAGGCAGTTTAATCCCCACAGAAACCCTCAACATCCCTCAACCCCCAGAAACCCCCATCCCATTGACTAGGTCAGGCCTGGAGGTCTCCAAGCTGCCGGATCGAAGCTCCAGTTGTTCTCATGCTGGTACTCCGTGAGGTAAACGTCCTGACATTTGTGGATTGGCCTTGTGTCATGCTCGCTTCATGTTCTTTTTCAAGTTCGTGAGCATCAGCGGAGGGCTCCCTACCGCACATCCAAGCCACCCTGCCATATTTTCAGGAAGGGTATAGTTACTGTAACGAGGCGCAGCAACTATGATCACAGACGTGTCGATGACAATGACGATGTTGATGATGATAATGGTGATGCTGTTGATGAAGGTGCTTCAATGATCATGATGACGAGGATGGTGCTGGCCTGTACTCCCCGAAACCTGACAGGGCCTCGGGCTGGAGTGTAGGCAAAGCAGCCTCGCTAGCCGAGACCCCAAACTAGATCGGCCATTGATTCATCTTCTGGGTCTGCGATAGTAAAGGGAAAACCCGAACCGGCCATGTGTTCAGGCTGAAAAAGGCGGTGGACCGAAGCCTCCCTAAAGCAACACCCCAAACCGCAGGCTTCATACCCCAACCATAAACCTACGACGCCAAACCCCAAGCCCATGACCCCACGACCACACCACAAGCCTTCCTGAATCCGAAATCCACACCGACCCGTTTTGCCAATGCCTGTGGATTGAATGCCCGCTTGAACTTCGCAAGTCCTGGGCAGGGTGGGTCAGCAGCCGTCTTTGGTCCCTAGGGGTTCTAAAGCTCTAACCTCGGTGGGTTAGGGTGTGGATTGCAGACAATGCATTTGTGAATTCAGCCTCGTTTAAGTCAACCCGAAGCCGCAGCAAAATCCTGAGACCCACCCCAATGCCGTCCAAACCGACATCGCACCCGAACCTCGAGAAACAATGAACACTGAGTCTCTTGTTCTGATTATAGTAAGAGACTGTTGAAGCAGGCTTGAAGAAGGACCGTGATATGGGATTAAGGCAAGGGCTGGCCCTCAAAACGCCGAATTTAGCAGAGTCCACCAAGCACTCCAAGAGTCTGTGGCGTGGCGCGAAGCTGACGCGCGTGGGGAGGGGGTGCCAGAACGGATCCTCCTGTGATGTTTGGGTGAGCTTGTTAAGTTCTAGAGTTGACTATGACTATAAGGACTATCACTGTAGTGAGAACAAAGTGATGCTGCCTCTGCAGAGGGTGCAGGGCTCAAGGAATGAACTTAAGAACCGCGCTTGGCTGGGCGTAGTGGTTCAGAGGATTCGAGGTGTGCTGGGCGTTGAGACTTTGGGGCTAAAGTTTAGTGCTTCAAGCAGCTGAGAAGTACTTTGGACTACTCACTGGTGGCGCAGCAAAGCAAGACTTGTCAGATACTCCGATACTCCCCGGCAGAAACTAAGCAGAAGAACAACTACACCAAAAGCCCGGCGAGCCCCAAGACGCGCCCCTGCCTTAGACCCGAACCCCAAACATGAAACCCAAAAGCGGACAACCTAAGCTCAATGCACTTTCCCCACGCTCGAGCATCCTTCTTCGGCTCCACCGTGGCCTTGGCGCGTGGGCGGATCAGAGCTATCCGCTGCGGAGTCTTCCTATGGTGTATCCTACAGTCGGCCTGGCTTCGTAAGATCGGATGATAGAAAGTCCAGAATCGGCTGCATGGGCTCACTTATTCTGGTGTGTTGGCTGCCATCTCGGCAACCAAAATCCCAAAACTTGGAAAGGACACAGGGCTGCCAGCAGGCTTGAAAGATTGCGAGGGGTCAGGACTCAGGACTCAACAACTGAAGCCAAGTTCAAGAATCCTGTGCTCCGAGCCTGTAGAACTTGCAGGCTCTGGGCTCGACATAAGTCGTTTTGAGGCAATGTCACAGTAAGATTCAATCCCTCCTAAGCTGTGCAGCCTCCCACAAGGCCCGAAGCCGACCCAGGTCCGAACTACCCGCTACACACCCTGCCCGAACCAAGCCTACACCCCAAACGCCATAAGCCTCTACGCCGAAAAACCTCAAACCCCAAGTCTTAAACCGTAGACCCTAAGCCCCACACCTTACGTTTCCTTAACCTCAACACCCCAAGTGCGGCAGGAGACAACAAGGATTCGAGCAGCAGTGATCAAACACAATGAGAATCGTAGTCATCACAAGAACCCATCCTCAGGTAAACCCTAAACCCTACACCC